GCAAGTTTAGCCCAGACTGCTGCTGCTTCTTCGGCCTCTGAGATTGTGCATGAGTTTTGAGGGGTTCAAGTCACACATGTGAAAACAAGGATTTCCTCACGTAACTTCTGGCACAGCAATCGTGCCCTCCAGGCACCTCCAAAGGGCACCAGACCCCTCCTCACCAGTGCAGTGACGTGCTGTGCCCAGGATCAGTCGTACCACTGTCATCCTCACTCACTCCCAGCACCTCTTCAGCTGCTTGGGAGCTTCAAATTAAGATCAGGGCACTAACTGACAGCAAGAGCAGCTATTTAGCCAGCCTCAGCCTTAGGGTCAAATTCTGCTCTGACCGGCAACACGTACCAGTTGAGTCTTACTGCAGCACAGCTCAGAGAGGAAGAGTGGTTATTGGATATGGAGTACCAGTGGCTCCTCGGATGAGAGCTAATAAAACAGGATGAGGGGGTTTGATTTTCTTTCTGAAGCTTTGGTAGTGAAAGTAACAAAACCCACATGTTTCCAGCAGGCTTTCCTAAATGTTGAAACAGGATAGCTGTTTCACCAAACTATTACACAAAGTGGAGATGGCTCTTCCATGAACGTCCCTCTTCCAAGAGCAACCTCCAACACTTCCTTCAACACAATACCAATATCAAAAGAGGAGGAAATATTGCTACTTTTTTTTCTTAATATATTCATCAGAATTAGGGATAATGGCATCGCTGTTTGCTTTATGAGGAAAAAGTATTTTGTATAAGATTGTATCATTCGTGCCTTTTTGCTGGATTAGCTTTTAGAGAATAAGAACGTCTTTCCTAACAGAAGCTGACCACATTTGCCTTGTAACTTATATAGCCTTTTTACAACATAGCATAGTCAAGGAGCACTATGAATAAAAGCCTTTCCTTATGAGTCACTATTATAATTATTTCTAAGGCTGTAGTATCATAAAGACATGGTTTGACCCATCACAAGCCTCCCTTTATTTATGGAATTTATGGAAAACAAATTACTGTTTATCAGACCAGAGCTCATGTGATTTAGCAAAGCTGGCACAAGACAAGCACTTGCTCTCTCCCAAAGCTTCGTGAGTTTCTGCTTTCCAGAGAATTTTCATTAGCTGTGGAAGCTCAAGAAATAATACACTGCAGAGGGGAAAAAAAAAAAAAAAAAAAAAAAAAGAAGAAAAGAGCAGGCAATTGGAGTTGTCTACTTGTCTGTTTTCCACTGGATAGGGATCATTTGTGCTCTGCTCTTCTCACTTGACGAACCTCCTGCTGCTGGCTGTGCCCAGTGTGAAGCAGCAAACAAGTGACCCTTTCAAAGCATGAGCAATAGGAGGGTTCAGAAAGATGCTTTGTCCTATTCATGTCTGTGTATCTACAACAAGAAACACATTCCATGTGTTCATTCTCGTTAACGGGTGGGAAACCACTTAATGTGATGGAGAGTTTAAATTGGTGAGGAAAAAGGCAGCCAGCCTCCTTCTCCAAAGAGTTGTGCGCACAACTTCATACCAGAATAGCTACAGCAATGCCAGTGGTGCAGCAGAGCAGTGAACCTGGCTCTTCTGATCCCCAGAGTTTCAGCAGGGATGTTGGAACCTTTGGCAACCTGACTTAGGAGCCAAGCAGATAGAGCTCGGCATCAAGAAGCAGCTGGGGGTGCTCTGGTTATTGCACTGGTTTTTGATTAACTTATCGCAGTCTTGGTTGTAAACACTTGTTAATGTAAATTACAACTTTGCACTAACAGTGGCAATGTTAAGACTTACACAGAGAAGATGTTTTTGTGCATAATCTACACAGAACACAGATTATTAAGTGCCTCTGAAAATGGTCACTGTTTTCCATCTTTTTTTCCTTCCTTCTCCCCTCTAAAGCAGTAACAATAATAAATTTATACAGATAATTTACTTTATGTTGGGCTATTCTGGAGGAAGTGAAAAAGAAAATCTGTAGTTTTTATTAGAGGAGAAATCAGGCAAAGGGCCAAACGCTTTCCACAGACCCACTGTGTACACAGGCATGCACAGGGGTAGTTTATGAAAGGATAATAGTCCTCTGCTATCAAAGGAACAGCCTCCTGGCTTGGTGGCATGAAGCCATTCCCCATCCTTTGCTCCGACAAGTAATAGAAGGGGAAAAAGAAAAGCAGCAGCCAAGCCCATAACAACAAGGAGATAACATACACAGCAAGAAGGATGAGGAATAATATATGACCACATTCGTTAAGCAGTTGCCACAACAGTCTTTGGCCAAGTTATCATTATACTTGGCAACACACTTTTTTTGTAATCATTCCCTGGTACTAAACCAACTTTGGAGAGGGAGTGATGGGGATCTGACTTACACTTTTGCAAACATTTGAGGATAAAAAAATGCCACTTACTATGGTCGCCCTAAAGAGAGACCACCCAAAAGAGCCGCAGAAAATTAAGGCAGCAACGGGTGTGCAGCCATGCATGATAAAACGTCACTTTTACAAGTGTGCTAAGATGATCAGACAGAGCTGGTGGCTGACAGCAGGAACTCCTCGCAGGCATGCAGCTGAGTGCAGAGTACAAGCCTGAGTCACCGCCGCCAGCGCCAGCGAGCAGCAAGGCCCTGGCCGAGCTGTCACCCCACCCAGCTGAGGCATGTCTTCACCTGTGCTCTGCCAACAGGCCCCCAGCGATTTCCTCCATGCCTGTACCAGGACAACCCTTTTCTTCTGCAACTAGCTCCTCTGCACCCCTGTACAGCACTGTAAAAACCAGCACGAGGCTGCCTACAGGTGGAGGTCCTGTGCCCTTTTCATCCACTTTGCCTAAGTCTTGCAAACTCATTTGGGAAGGATCTGTCACCAGGTGTCTAAAAGATGTCCCAATCCCAGCTGAGACTTCTCAGAGTTGAGATACAAGCAGTGGACCTACTCCAGCTCCTTTTGCCCAAATAGAGGTGGAAATTTTGCTATTGATGCTAAATGAGCAGGATAGAGGTCACTTCTGTGATTCCCACCCTACCACCCCTGTAGACGTTTTCCAAAACCAGAAACTTACCGACAAAAAGAGACTCTCAGAGCCTCAAGGAAAATCTCAAATCTGAAGGAGAGTCCCTGTTCAGTACCTGACTGCTTTGCTGGGGTGCAAGGTGCGATGAGCAGAGGGCTCAGCATCCTCTGGCTGCATCTCTTACCAGAGAGAGCATAAACCCAGCAAGCTGAACTGGATTCCTCCCCAGTGGCTCAACAACCCTCTTCCGACTGAAACATCTAATCAAGAAACTACAACTAACAAAGAGTAATTCCAAGAATCAGTGTTGATCATATGCTGAACCAGGATCACGTGGTTGTAATTGACAGAATTAAACCTTCAGTAACTAATTATTTGGTTTCTAATACACTGCAATCACTGGTAAAAGATTTGCATAAGCTTGGATAAAAACCTAGCCATTAATTACTACTATAATTTCCCACAAGGCAAAATGAACTAGCCACAACACCCAAACACCTGATTCTATCTTGCAAGAATTATGCACTTTACCAGCCACTAAAGAAAACCCACAAACAACAACATCAAGGCACATGTACACAATGTACAGACTGCCAGGCACCATCCAACGCACGCCCTCCATCCCAACATTTTAAAATATGGAAAAAGATGTCCCAATGCACGCCAAAGAAGAAGCAACTGTATGTGTGAGTGTACACACATGCATTAAGAGTGGACCAGAAGGAATGACTTTATCAGATTTACAGATGCTTCTCATGGACCAAAGCAGCAGGTTGGGTGAGACAGAATAGACACTGTGTTTAAGAAGGAAGTATAAAGAGACAGAAACGGGTGCACAGGAGAAAACAGCTCCCTGAGATTCACCCTGAGGTGCACTGGAGGACCTATTCCCTAAGATTTACCTTGGCAACGGTGTAGTAGCAGAACATAAAGCTCAGGTGATGCAACGTTTAAGTGGAGTGGCTCAGAGCAGACAGCAAGTATCTTTCCCTTTCCACAGGGCTGCCAGTTATCCTCAGAGAACTCTCAAAATCATGCAGTGGGAAAAGAGCTGGGTGTTTAGCAAGCATTGCCTTCAGAGCAACAGGTTTTTTGGTTCATGGGAAAAACCCACGAAATTCCCACCAGTGACATTTAAGGAAAACAAACAAACAAAAAGTTTCCCTTCATTTGAAGGAGAAACATCTCAAAACAGTGGTGGTGACCATCTGGCTCCACTGCTAACATTGGTGGTACCCCAAATCTCAGGCAATACCAGAGGACCATGATGCTTTTCACATTAATTCTGGGATCAAAAGCAGCCTACTATCACTTCTGTAGGAAATGTAAATCTGGCTCTGTAGAAGTTAAACAGAAGAAAATCTCCTCACCAACAGCTGAAGATGTTCACCAAAGACAATTTAGACTCGACATTAAAGTAAATGTTTTCACAAGTTTGTCCTGGCTCCCCAGGCAGGCCTGTGCCTGATGCTGGTAACTTCTGCTTTTTACCGAGCACCCCTTATATGCCAAAGAGCAGCA